AAGGAAGGAGCCAGCCTTACAGATTGGGGGAGTACTGGATTCAGAGAAATACTCAGCTCCCCATCTCTGGTCTTGAAAGGGGAAAACAGAACTGACTTTGGTTTCAGAGACAGAGCTGCAGAGGCCATGTCAGAACTGGACAGAGCCATACAGGCTGGTATCTGGCACTAACAGTGGCTGTCTTCAGAACCGATGCCTTTAGAGCCAACATAGCTCTAAGTTTCTTAGTAGGCAGGTGGTTTTTTTCCCCCACCAGCAGTGCCTTTGAAGCACTGACAGCTTTAACAGAAGGAGGCAGCACCAAAGATCCCAGACTGGAAGCTTTAGACAGCCTAGAAGTACCTCCGGTCAGTTCTGTCTCCCTTAGCACACACTGAGCATGACTGAACTCTCTGGAAAAGAGAACTCCCAGGAGGAGTATAGCCATACCCCTTCCACTTAAGCCACCTAAAGTGGTTGTCCAATGCCAGGGAGAATTGGCGCACAGCACATTTCTTAAAACCCAGCCTCTTCTTTGGTTCTGCCATTACATGAAGCCAACCTTACAAGCTTTTTTGAACTATCTAGATTTTAAACACTACCTTGTACTAAAAGCTATACTAAAGCCAGGAGATAAGGAATATCTCAAGGGAGGAGGAGGAGAGGGTGCATGTGCACTTTAACAGGCACTACTTGAAAAAGATTTTACCTTAGGTGGCACCAGGTGACATTGCCTGTAAGTGGGATTTGGGAACATGCAGAACCACTAATAGAAGCAGCTTTGCCACTTTACACTGAAATGCACTGGCCCAAAGCAGAGGTCTGGCATGCCATATACACGTTTACAACAGAGGTAGAAACCCAGGGTAAGGGATTACCTAATACATTTAGCACAGCAATGATGTGGGTCTACTGTAAATCTACGTGGATATCAGCAATCTCATAGACATCTTGTCACTCCAGTCAAAGCATAGCAACTTCTGGTGGCACCAATGCTTTAGGACATGAGTGAGGAATTTATGGCCTGCAACTGGGAGGATGACTCTAATCCTCAGCGCTGCCATTCCCACCTGACCCTGGGAGAGCCCCAAGCTGAGTGAGAGTGAGGTGGTGAGTGGTTTTTTGTTTTTGATTGTTGGGAGCCAGCTTAGTGACTTTTAGAGAGGTTGGGGGAGGGGCAGGCTTGGAGTGTGGGGGGGGCAGGGCTGCTCTTGTTTGGAGACAGATCAGGGATGGGTTTTTTGTCTTCTTGTTTGCTGCTTGTTGGGAGTGAGATCAGTGAGTTTTGATTTTTGTCCCCTTCTCACTTACGTGTGATCTCCAACTAATTTTTTTGTGGGTCAGTGGCCCTTAATTACAAAAAGGTTGCCCACTCCTGATTTAGGATTCCAGTATCATTGTTTTCAATGCAGTTTTGTAGAAGATAGCCACTTAGAGATGTGGGCATATCGACCTTTCAAAAGTAGCTCCCCTGATGCCAAAGATAGCAAAAGGCCCACGTTTCAATACCAAATAATGAATTTGTATCTACTTCCTCAAAAAAAAAATCTGTGTTCCTAAAAATGTTTAGGAAAGGAAACCAAAGTGATGTGAGCACTTGTGCAAATACCTAAATACTGCACAAGTATTAGCTCCAAGAGTGTCTGTGCAACCACCCTGTAGACTTCTTTTGAAGGCATTGCCCAAGAGCAGAATCATAGAATACTAGAACTGGAAGGGACTTTAAGAGGTCATTGAGTCCAGTCCCCTGCCCTCATGGCAGGACCCAGTACCATCTAGATCATCCCTGACAGATGTCTGTCTCACCTGTTCTTCAATATCTCTCCAGTGATGGAGATTCTACAACCTCCCTAGGCAATTTATTCCAGTGTTTAACTATCCTGACAGGAAGCTTTTCCTAATGTCCAACCTAAATCTCCCTTGCTGCAGTTTAAGCCCATTGATTCTTGTCCTATCATCAGAGGCCAAGGAGAACAATTTTTTTTACCTCCTCTTTGTGACACCCTTTTAGATACTTGAAAACTGCTATGTTCCCTCACAGTCTTTTTTTCTAAACTCAAACAAACCCAATTTTTTCTGTCTTCGCTCATAGCTTATGTTTTCTAGGCCTTTAAATCATTCTTGTTGCTCTTCTCTGGATCTTCTCCAGTTTCTCCACATCTTTCTTGAAATGTGGTGCCCAGAACTGGACACAGTACTTCAATTGTGAGGCCTAATTAGTGCAGAGTAGAGCGGAAGAATGACTTCTCATGTCTTGCTCACAACACTCTTGTTAATGCATCCCAGAATCATGTTTGATTTTTTTGCAACAGCTTCACACTGTTGGCTCATATTTAGCTTATGGTTGACTATGACCCCTAGATCCCTTTCAGCTTTACTCCCTTTTAGACAGTCACTTCCCGTTCTGAATGTGTGAAACTGACTGCTCCTTTCTGAGTGGAGTATTTGCATTTGTCCTTAAACTCCTATTTCATTCTATTTGTTAACTATAAACATAAGCTGTGATGCAATATTTCTTTACAGTTACCAGTTCTCATAAACAGCTATAACACTTACTGCCCACAACCACCACTTTCCTAGCTGCTGCCCAGTTTCAGAATCTGCTGGTTTTTTATGAAATCACAGACTTCCTTAAAACATCTCCTGTATTCTTAGATCTCATTGATTACACTGCCTACAGCAAGGGCAATACCATGCCACTTCAGTGACTTTATACAGCATGAACAGTAAATACAAAATAGCCTGAGGGTAATAATATGCTCATAGAAACCATTCATCAACTGCTCAAGATAGTTAAGACCAAAGCAGACTGTGAAGAGCTTCAAAAAGATCTTACAAAACTAAGTGATTAGTCAAAAAATGGTAAATGATATTTAATGTTGATAAATGTGAAGTAATGCAAATTGGAAAAAATAATCCCAACTATACATACAAAATGATGGGGACTAATTCAGCTATAACTACTCAAGAGAGATCTTTGAATCACTGTGGATAGTTCTCTGAAAACATCCACTCAACATGCAGCAGCAGTCAAAAAAAGCAATGTTAGGAATCATTTAAAAAGGGATAGAAAATAGGAACAGAAAATGAGAGAGAGTATCTTATTGCCTCTATATCAGGGGTGGCCAACCCACGGCTCGTGAGCCGCATGCGACTTCACCTGAAAGTGTGGCTTGCGAAGCTGCCCCATGCTCCCCTACAAATGGCCCCCGGCTCCGTGTGCTCACCGGGTGCAGGGGAGCCCTCTGGCATGGCAAAATGGCAGCAGCCAGATGGTGTCGGCCAGTGGGAGCTTGATGTGGCCAAAAAGCCTAACCCATGGTTTTTAAAGGGGCAGCATCTTTTTTTTTTGGGGGGGGGGGGGGGGCACGCTCAATTCTGGTGATGCTCTTCGCATTTTTTCCTACCACTGTTTCGGCTCTCTTGGTTTCATGGGTTGGCCACCCCTGCTCTATATAAATCCATGGTATGCCCACATCTTGAATACGGCATACAGATGTGGTCAAAAAAATATATTGGCATTGGAAAAGGTTCAGAAAAGGGCAACAAAAATGATTAGGGGTTTGGAACGGGTTTAGAAGAGATCTTTTTCTGCTTAGAAAAGAGGAGATGGGGGGTATGATAGAGGTCTATAAAATCATGATAGGTATAGGGGATGTAAGCGACTAGTCGACTATCTGATAAGCATAAGCTTATTGGATAGTTGACTAGCGATGCGACTAATTGCTTCCCACCCTCCTGGCTGCTTAAAAGCTGACTTTAAGAGTTCTCCCCAGCACTGTCTCTGTGGGGGGCAGGGGAGGTAGAGGCACAGCGGGGCTCTTGTACATTTCAAAGACTCAGGCACTGCAGGGAGCGTAGAGCCAGTCCCCCGCTGGCACACGTTCCCTGCAGGTCTTTTGCTATCAAACTGTAACAAAAGCTTTGGCAGGGCTCTTGCTACAGTTCAAAGCCGGAGACGCCCTTATCGACTAATCTAATAGTCGATGGAAATCCCATCAACTGTTCAATTGGTTAATTAATCTAATTTAGCATCCCTAGACAGGTATGGAAAAAGTGAATAAGGAAGAGTTATTTATTTGTTCCCATAACATAAGAACTAGGTGGTCACCAAATGAAATCAACAGGTAGCAGGTTTAAAAACAAACAAAAGGAAGTTTTTTCTTCATGTAGTGCAGTCAACCTGTGAAACTCCTTGTGAAGACCAAGACTTTTACAGGGTTCAAAAAAAGAACTAGACAAATTCATGGAGATTAGGTCCATCAATGGCTATTAGCTAGGATGAGTAGGAATGGGTCCCTAGCTTCTGTTTGTCAGAGGCTGGAAATGGGTGACAGAAGAGAGATCACTTGATGATCACCTGTCCTATTCACTCCCCTTTGGGGCATCTGGCATTAGCCACTATTGGAAGACAGAATACTGGGCTAGATCGTCCTGTGGTCTGACCCAGTATGGGCATGCTGATGTTTTTATAGAATAAAGTTATCCACTGTGACCCACTTGCCCAGTTGTTCTAAAAACAGATTAAATTAGGTCTTTGGTTCTGTAGGTTTTCATTAATAAAGCTAGTGGAGCTCACCCTGAATGGGTTCAAATACAGCTCTGGTGTTAGGGTTTATGTAAGTACCATTACTAACACCTGAAACTAAGCAATCAATTAGTAGATCAAATGTTGTATGAAGACCTCAATTATAGGTGGGTTTTGCACCAGAAATTGCCAGGCAATACCCTGCAATACAAACCACCCTTTCCACATGGGAACATGCACATTTACTTTAAAAGCACTAAAATCTGAAACAAAATAGTGCACATTATTAAGGTGAAGTAAGTTTGCTTTCCCACAGTGTAAGCTTAGTATAAAGGAACATAAGGCTGGCTACTTTCACAGCAGGAAGGTCTCACCACTATGCATAACGTTATAGAGTGAAGAATGTTGAGCTATTCCAGGAATCTGACTATGCTGTGTAACAGCAATTTAATCATAGTAATTTAATACAGGAAAAAAACCACCACATTCTTACCTCTTCATACTCTTCCACATCACAATAAATATCCGTGTTAGGAATTTGACCCAGGATTCTGTACTGTGGCCTGGAGAGAAATGGATGAGCAAAGTTTCAATATTATTGTTCACAGACTAGAGAAGAATGCACATTTTAAAAAAATGGCTTCAAACATACACCAGATATGGCCTTTGTAGTTAAGCACAGTGCCTGAATAGACTAATCAAAACATGCTTTGAGGCAGTTTACAGCAAGAACATAATAAAGGTGCCAGGTGGTGATTCAGCTATTATGAAACTAAATCTGTTTTAATAAAAAGGGCATTTGGAAAATATCTGCCCTGTTTGATGACCAACTGATGAACCAGTTGGCCCATCCAGCTGGTGCCCAACTGGTCAGCAAAAGCTACAGGGTTTAATTCTCTTCTGGTGTAAGACGGCACAACTTCATTGACTACAATGGAGCTATGCCAGTTCACACAAGCAGAAAACTTGGGCCACAGTTTCCTAAAAAACATCTTGCTTCTCAGAGGGAAAGGCCTGATTCTGCAAGATGCTGAGCACTTAGGTAAATTCTGGGCTCTGATAACACAGCTAATCAATTCCCGGGGAGCTAACACTGGACCAGAACTGACCCAGCATTGTCCCAGTGGGGACATCTCCCACCAAATGCAAACACAGGACAGTGACTTCTGCTTACATGGGGCCAATCTTGGCATACATTTTATTTCATTGTAATGCACAGTCATTATGACAAACCCCACTTATTAAATCATGCAATAAATAAGTTTGAAATTCTGAGCTCTAGGGCTTTAATAAAAAATGAGATACAGATACATATTAAAAATGTAAATATAAATGTAAATTCAGTATCTGAAGCAACAGTACTAGGCCCAGATCTGGGAGGCTAGGACAAACCAATTAAGAAGTCTCCACTATCCTCATAAAATGGGACTTCTGTTTACTTCTAGCCCTTAAAAAAGGGAAAAACTAAAAACCACCCACAAAACCCTGATTCTGAGAAAGAGGAGTAAAAAGTCTGACCTTTGTGTTCTGTAAATAACGGTTATCACTGCAAATGCCACAGCAGTAAGCAAGCCATAGTCCAGTCCCAGGAAAACAGAGGCAACAAAAGCAACAACCCAGATGGCCTAAACATCACACAAAAGCTATATATTAAAATGCATCTAGCTGTTTTGTTAACATGGCTCAGACTCTCATACACACACACACACACACACACACACACACACACACACACACACACACACCCACACCACCACCC